TGGAGTGAGTTTGAGGCGGAGGGAGAATGGTCTTTTTGGCTGTTTTGGGGCAAAGGAGGGGTGGAGAGAAGAGAGGCGAGATGGGTGGTTCTGGCGGAAGGAAAGGGAGAAGGTGGCGGAGAGAGAGGTGGAGCAGGCAGCCATATTGATGGTGCGGTGTTGGTTGTAAGGGACTAAGGGTAGTGTTTTCAATTAGTGACTGAGGATAAGACATTTCTTTACATCAAACGATGTAGGAAAGGGAAAATTTCGATAGACATCCCTAAACTTAAGGCCTTGTTCCGTGTTAGTCATCAAAATGCAATTTATTTCGAAATAGTCATTTAATTAACGATTCTATTCACATTTACCACTCCATTTATCACGTAAATCCTAATTACAATAAATAATGGGTCCAACGGGTCACACGGATTTAATTATGTAGATTGTTAATCAATGATAGTGTAGTCATTAGTTGCCATCACGTATATATTGAAGGAGTCACATTATTTGTTTAGACCATGCACATGAAATAAAATGATAAAGAAAGAAAAAGAAATTAAACAAACAATGTGCGTTGAGTGAATATATTAAAATAAATTAAAGTTCGATGATTAATATGAAACAATCCTATATCTTAGGTGACATCAAATGAAATTTTTTGAAAGAATGATATTATAATTTGGGCTGAAATTCACTTGTTTATACCAAATGGACCTCAGGCCCAAATTCTAAGTCGAACGTGGAAAAATTCACTTTATTTTTTATTCTGCACTTGTTGTAGCTACATAGTTTGATGTTCTTAAATTGAAGGATATTTTACTCTCAAAAAACTACTAGTATCTTTGTGTTGAATTTTTATGTAGTTCAATTCAATAGTTTGAGGGAAAATTAGATCCGTTCTATTGCAAAAATTACAAAAATAGATATCGGAAATTATCCATAGGGACCTTTTGCATACAAAATCAATAGGTTGAGGAGGTCAAAGTCAAGAATGAAATATTAAAGACCATAAGGCCATAAGCGAATCGAGAGAGATTGTCTGGATTGTTTTAACTTGGGAATAGGAAGTTGATATTGTTAATAATCGCTGATCAACATGCCACGTTGAATATGTACTCAAACCCTATATACAACGTTCGTCGTACCTTGAAAATTGATTTCAATAAAAGTACCAAGCAAATGATCACCCATAACTTTTGTATCAGACTACTGCCACAAAGACTTCTAGTGGACTTATTGATGCATACCAAATGAATCATTACAAACCGTTTGTGCGTAAGGCCATACGTTTGGATCATTTCTACCAATTTCCTTTGATTATTTAGTTTCACGTTCCGCACGTGTCCGTCCAACGATAAATTATTGGTTAAGGTTGGATGTATGAGTAAAAGGTGACAAAAATGTCTGGTCTTTCTGGGCAAATATTGATAGCTCCGTACAAGGCAATAACCTAAGAACATATATCGTTGATGTTTGTGTAAGTACCAACAGACACAGACAAACGAAAATGGTCCACACGGCAATAACTAATCGTGGAGCAGTTGTAACCTCCAACACTCCTAACGAAAATTAGCGTCATCTTAAATATTGTCATTGGCCTAATTGTTATAATAAGCTTTTAAGGAAGTCATCACGATTTTTTACTGGTCTAAGTGACACTCGAGATCAATGGACTTGAACCAATTACATTTGTTAAGACTCGGTCCGGTGAGGTTATTCTTCTATATGGTACCACACAATAGACGCTACGGAAAAGTTATTTGTATAGAAACATCTTGCACAATGGGTTACAGATGAATATGTGGCAGGATTTTAGCAGATGGATTAATTGTGTTTTTGTGGAAGATGGTGTAAGAACTTTCCAAACGTAAATTCTATAAACGAAG